ACTTTTCCTTAGGCCACAGCAAAAGCGACTTCATCTTCTTCTTTAATATTATTGTTCTTTTCCATCTTTGTGGTGTATGTTGGAATGTCTAATTCCTTGCTCTCCTTCTCCACCACCTTCGATGCATTGCTCCATTTCTTAGTCAAGAAGGAAAATCTAATTAACAAAAAGCCCTCAATTACTTAAACTAGTTAATTATGTGTTTATTAATGCTTCATTAAGTGTGGGAAAATGCATTCATTTTAATTCTGTCTCACTTTTTCATGTAACTAATTAACTAAAGATACTTTAGGGTTTTAATCCCTTTATTGTCTCTTTCAATTGTCATGCAACACGTACTTATACACTGCCATATATTTATTTTGTATCTTTATCGGGTATATTTGAAATTTCAAATACTCACTCTCTTCTATACAAACTATAAATGAATGTCAGAAATATATATCTATATTCACTGGGTATATTTGAAATTTCAAATACTCAGCTTATAAACAAACTAATTATATAAAATGTGTCAGAAATGTTCTGATTATAAATACAATATTCCTTTACGTGTATAATCAAGAGTTTGTTTTCCTTTGTTAACAATCAAGAGTTCTTTGTTTTTTCTCTTTTTTTGAAAATCTAGAGTTTTTTTTTTTTGAAAATCTTTAGTTCTTTGTTATGCTGTTTAAAGTACTCTTGCGAGGGCTCGTTATCTAGTAGCTAGTCTTCGTTTACTAAACAAAGAGAAATAATTCTCTCTTACAAATCCAAACAAAAAGGAACTGTGAACATAAATCCTGTAATGACAATTTCAAATTAACCTACTAAACAAGAACTATGAAATACTAGGATAATACATACTTAAAGAAATAAAAACTCTTCATGTATTTCAATTTCAAATGTATTTTACTAACTTACATTGGTCCAAATAAAAAAGATAGCAGTCGTGTTTTTTATTTTACCATTTAAAATTTGAAAAGAAAAAGTTACATTTACCTTTACAACGCCGGTCGTTTTCTACACCTATATCTATAGATTACCCACTTCTGCTCGATAGTTTTCTCTATAACATAGAGACAAAAGAAAAAACATAAGTCAGAGAGAATTTAAACTGAAAAGAACAAAGAAGGAAAAACAGAGCAGCCATGATAGCTTCTGTTTATTCATTGATCCTTCTCTTCTTCTCGTGTTTAGTACATCTATCAAGTAAGTTTTACAACAGTGTTATTGTTTTTTTTTACTACGTAAAACTTTCTCTAACTCGGATTCTTTCACATGTATCAAAACAGAGTCTCAACCGTTCCTCGGGATAAACTACGGACTAACCGCCGACAATCTTCCGCCTCCGTCAGCGAGTGCAAAGCTCCTCCAGTCCACAACTTTCCAAAAAGTCCGTCTTTACGGATCCGACCCGGCTGTAATCAAGGCCCTTGCAAACACAGGGATCGAGATCGTTATCGGGGCATCGAATGGCGATGTACCCGGTTTAGCTTCCGACCCGAGTTTTGCCCGAAGCTGGGTCCAAACCAACGTGGTACCTTACTATCCAGCGAGCAAGATTGTTCTCATAGCCGTGGGGAACGAGATCACCACATTTGGCGACAACAATCTCATGTCGCAGCTTTTGCCGGCAATGAAAAATGTACAAAGTGCTCTCGAGGCGGTGTCTCTTGGTGGTGGGAAAATTAAGGTTTCGACGGTACATGTAATGTCGGTTCTGGCCGGGTCAGACCCTCCTTCGGCCGCGGTATTTAAACCGGAGCATGCTGATATATTGAAAGGATTGCTAGAGTTTAATAGTGAAACCGGGTCGCCTTTCGCGGTAAATCCGTACCCGTTTTTCGCTTACCAGGATGACCGGAGACCCGAAACATTGGCCTATTGTTTGTTTCAGCCTAATCCTGGCCGTGTCGACCCCAAGAGCAACCTCAAGTATATGAACATGTTCGATGCTCAGGTTTTACATTACTCCCTTTTGACATAATTTAAGTTTTAGCTATTTTAATTACTAGAAGTTACTATTTATGTACCGAAATTTTATTGCGACAAATAATTATTTCATAATTCCGTTTTTTTTGGATAAACGGTTTTATTTCATGAATTTTCTTTTTAGTATATTATTAATTAAAGTACAACGAGATGATATTTTACTAGTTTGTATGTTTGATAAATGGATTTAATTTTTCTCAAGTTTGGTTTTGGAAAAAAAAAAACTTTGTTAAATTAAAGAGATAGGCATATTCGTTACGTCAAATGAATGGAAAGTGAAAACTGTACTCTAGAAGGAAAAGTAGTATAAATCGGTAAAGGACACAATGTGAGTGTACCACTGTACCTTATAAAGTTAGTGGAAGGAAGAAAATTGATATCCAAATTTGCAATAATAAATTCTTACTTCTAGAAAAAGTAAATGAATACAAAGATGTGATTTGTAACATATAAAAAAAACAAAAAAGATAGATGATATTAAATCTGTTTTGTGGTAAAATTTGGTTTTTATGAAGGTTGACGCGGTGTATTCAGCTTTGAACTCGATAGGGTTCAAAGATGTAGAGATAGTGGTCGCTGAGACTGGCTGGCCGTACAAGGGTGACCCGGATGAGGCTGGTGCAACAGTTGAGAACGCTAGAGCTTACAATAAAAACCTCATTGCTCATTTGAAATCTGGGTCCGGGACGCCACTGATGCCCGGGAGAGTGATCGATACATACTTGTTCGCATTGTACGACGAGAATCTCAAGCCCGGGAAAGGTTCTGAACGAGCCTTCGGTTTGTTTAGACCTGATCTAACCATGACTTACGACATCGGGCTCACCAAGACTACCAATAACCAAGTAAGTTTTCAAACATTTTATGGGAAAATTGAATCTTAACTTAAACCGCATATCAAATCGAATGGAATGTTAGATAGTTTTTTTGCGGTTTAAATATTATTAGATAGTTTCTATTTGATTTTCTATTTCATAATTGTAAAATTCGAAAACTGAAAAATCCGAACCGAAAATTGGATTGACAACTTAGTAACTAGAGTCATTCGAAGTTTCGAACAAAAAGCTTACTCAAGATTTTAAATTGAACATATGTTTCGTCCAAGATACAACATAGCCTCTTATTTGGCCAAACTAAACCATAAATTATTTTTGTTACGTCTCCCAGACTTCCATGGCTCCAGTGTCGCCAACAACGCCACGTCTACCACCAGCCGCGGCCCCGACAAGGCAAACCTTACCTGCTCCTCCGCAGATGATTCTCCCTTCACCAGTTACTCCCTCCCACAAAAACTCTGGACAAACCGATGTTCACAATTCCACTCCACGCTCTGCCTCTCTGGCTCACATATGCCGTTCTCTCTCTATTTCAACATCGATGTTGTTTCTCTCCGTTCTGTATGCATTGATCATATAGTTGTGAAATCTTCTCATCGATCTCAAGAGTTGAAAATGTTAATTTTATATTATGTGTCTCTAATTTTAAATTTATTAATCAACAAAAAGATACATTTACAATGAAAGGGAGATAAATAAAGAATTGGTTTCTCAAAAAATTAGGAAGGTAGAAAAAATAGAAAACCAAACGTGGAATTATAGCTAAAAAACAAATTTGTGGAAGATTCTTGCAATAGTTCCAACGATCGATAAGCTCTTCATGAATCTGGGAAGGTTATGCATAAGAGAACATATACGATCCAACATCACTTTGTCCATGATGTGTGCAAGCTGAACAGGGGAGTGGTGGCGCTGTTGGTGCCGACTTTCGTTCCGTCCTCTCCACACATGGTAAATTGTGGTCTGTAAAACCAAGCAAGCCAATACTAAATCCAGCCGAGGAAGTAGTGCACCAGAGACTGAAACATGGCATACCAGTGTCTAGGCTGATGAGATTACCAATCAATGTATCAGTCAAATAGGAAAAGCGAAATACAAATGGTCCCTCGTTTCGTCTTGTTGTCCACATTAGTTTTGTCTCTTACTAATTTAAACTTAACTAATTGAAAGAGACTATAAAGGATATAAACAAATGAAATAAAGCTAATTTAAATAGTTTATATTCTATTATTCAATTTTTCAACAAAAAAAGTTGTTGGAATTCAAATCTTGACAAAGTAATGGGCACTATAATACAATATTGTGTATTACATGTCAAAATCAAATATAATTTGAATGAGAAATGAGGTCTAAATAGCTTGAAAAGCTTCAAAATCTTGTAATTTTGACCAAGTATCAAAATGAACAAATGTCCCTCATTATAATAATGGTGTATGAGTGAAAGGACCATTATGCAAAACCACACACATGCATGTGCATTGCCGTGCCGTGCCGTGCCAAGCCAGGCCATAGGTCAAATTATGGAGACAAATTTCAAGGATGAGCTTTTTATGAATGTGTTTTGAGTGATCACTCGTTTTGATATCAGAAAAATATAAGAATTATTTTTTAAGTGTAAAAAGAGTGGTCACTCGTTTTGAAGTCAGAAAATACGAAAAGAAAATTATGTATGAAAACAGAGTGGTCACTTGTTTCACAGTCAGAATTTTCATTAACAATTTTGTCACTACAGGAAATGTGGGTATTAATAGCGGCCGAAAAACGCAATTATTCATCTACCATAGCGTTTCCTTAAGCGCTCTGACATCGCCCGTTATAGAAACTAGGACACTTTTGATAGCGGTTTTGCGTTATGCAATAGTTAAGTATACAACGATAGCGTTTATGACGCTGCTATTATTAATATTTATAATAACGTATAATAAATAATAATCGTTATGATTGGATTGTGTCTATTTTTATAATTTGTTTTTTCTGCAATATTTATATTTGATTAATTATTTCAGTAATTTTTATTTTTTATAATATTTGTATTTTTGTTAATTATTTTAATTATATTTAAATCACATTTACTGGAATTTTTGGATTAAAATAACATATCAAAAATAAAATACAATATTTATTATCATTATTACATAAAATAATATACAAAAACTCTTATATAAAAAAAGTTTACACACTAATTTGGCGTAAAACAAAAACAAAAATTTAAAACTACAATTTCTTCTGAATATTGCTTCGTCGACCTTTAACCATCTCAATTGCAGCTTGGTCATTAACATGAAACTGTAAAGACAAAACCAATTAAATCATAAACAAATAAGTCAAATTAAAAAAAGAGACCGAAGGAAATGATATATATATACACTGTGAAGCGACACTAGCAATAACCAATAATAGAGTGGAGACTGATAATGTGGCGCAGCGTAAGAACCGATATGCAGCTCAATCAAGAGATTTGTGATAATCTCTTGAGACCTACTTCGCTCAATCAAGGGATTCGTATGAATCTCTTGAGACCGATTTCCTGTGTTGATGAAACTAATCAAATCAAGACAAGGGTTTAGAGATAAATCTCGTTTATAACTTCAAAAACTGTCTATCAAAAGAGAGAAAGCAAAGCCTTATATAGGCAAGGTCACAACCGACTTAGAAACACCAAACCCTAAACTTGAAAGACACGTAAGCTTGTCTTAAAAGGAAGTTTAATCAAAAAGGAAAAAAACAAAAAGGAAAGACTAAAAACACCCATAAAGCCTTGTTGCTTGTTCGTGAAACTAAGGAGACGACGCTACATCAGGTCCCCCCTGGTTTGAAAGATTCGACCCCGAATCGAGCACGGGATCTGCCGGGAGAAAGCGAGAAAGATACTTGACATTGAATACATCTGAAGTATTGATATCTGGCGGTAGTTGTAGACGATAAGCATTGTCGTTTATGCGCTCCAGAACTTCCAAAGGTCCAATCTTCTTTGCTTTGAGTTTGTTGTATGCACGGGCAAGCATACGATCCTTTGTTAGAACAGCCCACACAAGATCACCGACCTCAAATACTAGCCGACGACGATGGACATCAGCCGCTTGTTTGTATTGTGAAACTGAAGCTTCCAAATGTTGCTTAGTTTCGACATGAACTTCTTGAATGGCATCCACAAAAGCTGCAGCATCACCGTGAAGACGCGTGCGATCTGGAAGAGTAGATAAATCACTTGGACCACGTGGAAGTATGCCATAAATGACTTGAAAAGGACTAAACCCAGAACATCTGTTACGAGCGTGATTATGAGCAAACTCCGCTTGTGGTAACTTCGAATCCCATGACTTAATAGATTCACCGACCAAACAACGAAGTAGATTACCCAGCGATCTGTTAATGACTTCGGTCTGACCATCACTTTGTGGGTGATATGCTGAACTCATATCCAAGCTAGTATTCAACATTTTCCACAAAGATCTCCAAAAATGGCTCAGAAAGCGAGAATCTCTATCAGACACAATAGAAGATGGAAGTCCGTGTAGGCGATAAATCTCGCGAAAGAAGAGTGTGGCAACTTGAACAGCATCCGTTGTACGCTTGCATGGAATAAAGTGGACCATTTTTGAAAATCGATCAACCACCACAAAAATAGAATCATAACCACGTTGCGTACGCGGTAAACCCATGACAAAGTCCATACTAATATCTGTCCACGGTTGTGTAGGAACTGGCAAAGGAAGATAAAGACCGGCGTTCGTAGCTTGGCCTTTGGATTTCTGACAAATCACACAACGTTCAACAAATCGTTCGACGTCACGACGGAGAGACGGCCAAAAATACGAAGAAGAGACGAGGTGAAGCGTACGATCACGACCAACATGACCCTCATTATGTATCTCCGAAATAAGTTGCAAGCGAAGACTGCAATCCGGAATACATAACCGTGAATCACGAAAAAGAAACCCATCATGTAATGAATAAGGAGAAGATCGACCCTCTTGGACATCCAACCAAATACGACCAAAGAACGGATCAGAATCATAGAGATCAGCAAATGTACTAAATCCGGGTACGGAGACGTTTAAAACAGCAAGCATGGCATGTCTGCGACTAAGAGCATCAGCCACTCGATTAGATATCCCCGACGTGTGCTTAATTACAAACGTGAATTGCTGCAAATAAGCTACCCATGAAGCATGACGAGAAGAAACCGTATCTTGGCTGTTAAGATGCTTCAATGCATCATGATCCGTATATAGAACAAATTCTTTTTGAAAAAGATAATGTCTCCAATGCTTGATAGCTTGAACAACAGCGTAGAATTCGATATCATAGGTGCTATAGCGCAAACGCGAACCAGCCAACTTTTCACTAAAAAATGCAATAGGACGAGTACGTTGACTTAACACAGCGCCAATTCCAGATTTTGAAGCATCGCAATGGAGCTCAAACACTAGAGTGAAATCAGGGAGTGCTAGTATAGGAGCGGAACTGAGTTTATTTTTTATCATAGCAAACGCCCTTGAAGCTTCCGGAGTCCAAACAAAGGTGCCATCACGAATACAACTTGTAATTGGAGCCATAACACTACTAAATTGTGGAACGAAACGCCGATAGAACGAAGCCAAGCCATGAAAACTACGAGTTTCTGACAAGGTCGTAGGTTCTGGCCAAGATTGTATGGCTGTCACTTTGCTAGGATCCACCGCCAAACCGTCCGCGGAAACAATATAACCCAAAAAATGCACTTGACGTGACCCAAACTCACACTTCTTCAATGTAGCAAATAACTTATCACGGCGAAGCACCAAGAGAACCTCACGTAAATGACGAATATGGTCATCTAAAGACAAGCTAAAGATCAATATGTCATCAAAGTAAACTACCACGAATTTACCTATAAATGGTCGGAGCGCTTGATTCATGACGCGCATAAAGGTACTAGGTGCATTCGACAACCCGAAAGGCATCACAAGCCATTCAAAAAGTCCTTCACGAGTTTTAAATGCCGTCTTCCATTCATCGCCCGGTCGAATACGAATTTGGTGATACCCGCTCTTTAAATCCAACTTAGAGAACACAGATGCTGAACCAATTTGATCAAGTAAGTCATCAAGACGAGGAATTGGAAAACGATACCGCACTGTTATCTTATTAATGGCGTGACTATCGACACACATCCGCCAAGAGCCATCTTTTTTTGGAATAAGGAGAGCAGGAACTGCACAAGGACTTAAACTCTCACGTAAAAAGCCTTTAGAAACCAAGTCCTCCACTTGTTTCCGTAGCTCTTCGTGTTCACTCGGACTCATGCGATAATGACTACGATTAGGAAGAGCCGCATCAGGTACCAAATCAATACGATGTTGAATGTCACGTAGAGGAGGCAGCCCTGGTGGTAGGTCTTCTGGGAAAACATCACTGAACTCATGTACCAAAGATTCAAAACCAGCTGGAATGATACATGGAACGTTAGACGAAATAGTGGTAGAAAGAAGAACAACAACAAGTCCTTCTTCACGCATTGAAGCCTCAAAAGGAGCACGCTGCAAAACTAAAACAGGGTTAGATGGGACTTTCTGTTTCACCGGAAGAGACGGTTGTAACGTGAAGTGACGATTGTTGAAACAAAAACTGTAGGTGTTTAAGAACCCATCATGTTGAACTTTTCTATCATAAATCCAAGGACGTCCCAACAAAAGATGACAAGCGTCCATGGGCACCACATCACAATGGAGTTGATCTTTGTAAGAATCACCAACAGAAAAAGACACCAACGCACGTCGTGTAACAACTACTTCTGTTCCTTGTTGCAACCAAGCTAGCTTGTAAGGAGACGGATGAGGTTCCGCGACGATTAAGTTTAGTGATCACATCTTCTGCCACGACATTCTCACAACTTCCTGAATCAATAATAAACTTGCATACTTTACCCTCAATAGTACATCGGGAATGGAAAAGATTGTGACGTTGAGGATGTTCATCTTGGACTCGTGGAGTTAAGCAAATACGTCGAACCATTAGCATTGAACCAACATCTGCTGACAAATCTTCTGTGATCTCTGGTTCTTCATCATAAATAACTTCAACATCATTACCTGATTCATCCAGGAGAAGCCCTCGACGATCCCGTGTAGGACAAGCTGATTGGCGGTGTCCAACTTGACCACATGAAAAACACCTAAGAGTTCCAGTCCTTACTCCACGATTATTATCGAAAGGTACTATTGCAGTGTCTTGTTTTGTTACAGAAGATTCCATAGCTGGACTTGAAAGTGATGGTAAAGGGGCTGGTCGAGAAGGACGTGAGGCACTCCACGAAGAAAAATTTCCCTTTGTTTGAGCTTCAACAGTTAAAGCTTGTTGATGGGCTTCTGAGATTGTTAGAGGTCGAAATAGATTAAGTGTGTGCTGAATTTGCAAGCGTAACCCACCAACAAAACGAGCCACCAATTGTTCTTCAGAATCATGAGTGTTCACTCGATTGATCATCATGAAGAACTCTTTAGCATACTCTTCCACCGTACGATTTCCTTGTCGTAAATTCTGAAATCTCTGAAACATCAATTGATCATAATTATAGGGAAGAAAATTTTTGTGCATCTCACGCTTCAATTTTTCCCATGTCACAATTTTTGATTTTCCAAGACGAGAACGTGACGTCTTACTTTGACTCCACCACGCAGCAGCACGATCTCGAAAACGAATTGCAATTAGAGGAACACAACGATTCAATGGTACACGTTTGAATTCAAGAATCTCTTCCACTGTCACAAACCAATCAAGTAATTCTTCGGCCACATTACCTCCACGAAACTCTGGAATTTCAAGCTTGAAACCTCTTTCCCACCGAGCTTCTTTCTCATCATCTCCTGTGTCGGAGTCAGCGGCAACACGACGGTGGTTCCGAGGCTGACAATTTCCAGCGAATGGATTATCTTCAACATCAGATTCAGCTTTGTTGTCTACAACTTCGGCACGATCTTGGTGAACTTCTCGCACCACGGGCTGCAAATTCATGGTCTGAATTGCAGTTGTGAGATTCTGGACTTGAACTTGAAGATCTGCAATTGCTTGACGTGTGATCTCAACCTCCGTAGGCGGCACATCTTTCTTTGGTCTAGCCATCGAAACAAGGAGCGTAGCAAAGCTCTGATACCAACCTGGCGCAGCGTAAGAACCGATATGCAGCTCAATCAAGAGATTTGTGATAATCTCTTGAGACCTACTTAGCTCAATCAAGGGATTCATATGAATCTCTTGAGACCGATTTCCTGTGTTGATGAAACTAATCAAATCAAGACAAGGGTTTAGAGATAAATCTCGTTTATAACTTCAAAAACTGTCTATCAAAAGAGAGAAAGCAAAGCCTTATATAGGCAAGGTCACAACCGACTTAGAAACACCAAACCCTAAACTTGAAAGACACGTAAGCTTGTCTTAAAAGGAAGTTTAATCAAAAAGGAAAAAAACAAAAAGGAAAGACTAAAAACACCCATAAAGCCTTGTTGCTTGTTCGTGAAACTAAGGAGACGACGCTACATCATAATGCTGAACAATCACAGTTTAATTAAGACTTGGAGAACCAGAGATGTTATCAGGTTTTTCGATTCAATGAAAACAAAGTAAGAAGATTACCGGAGGCAAGTCCTGGTAGCTTCTTAGAGTATCAAGAACGGGTTTTGCCATCTTCTCCAATTCCTTCCGGTGCTCTGCCATTTCTACCAGCTCTCTGTGGCTGATCTTAGGAGAGTAGCCAACACGATTGAGTAACATCTGCTATCAGCAACCATTCATTTTGACTATGTCAGGTTGTTTAAAGGAACCAAATTCAGTCTTAGAGTCAATAAAAGAAACCAAAACGAAAACTAACTATAAACCAAATAAAGAGAAGAACATCAGCTTACACACTAACAGAAGATGCAGCAACAAGAAGATTCAATATGAAAAACGAAAGAGAAATTGTAACAGAAGATGCAGCAACAAGGGAAGCAAAAGCACAAGCTCTAGAAACCAATCAACCAAAACTATAAAACCCAATAATCATCAGAGCCAATATGGGTCAAGTAGATAGCTTCTGACAAAGCTTTATCAGTCCATTTGTTCTTGTTTTGGAAGAATTTGATCACTTGTTGAGACAGAGTCATCTGTGTTCATTTTTTTTTTTTTGGACAACAGTCATCTGTGTTCATATGTAAACTAATCTTACTTAAACAAAAGAAATCTCCAGATATCACTAACGCAAATTCAAATGGTCCATACAGAAACTTTACTTAAAGGCGAGATCTAATAGAGAAAACTAAAAGCTGACCGTTTTGAGAGGAGAGCCGAGGACGGTGGCGTCGGCCATAGCGAAGCTAGCTCCGTGAGAGAGATCCTCTGCCGAGCTCCGTAGAATCGGTGGGATTCTTGGGATACCCATCAATTCAGCTGCGCAAAACAGAGACAACTCAAATTCATTCATTCTGTTTCACGAATTAGCACCGATTTCAAGAGATCAGTATATATGAAATGTACCGAGATAGTCAGGAATGATGTGGCCATCGGTGGAGAATTGGCGTCGACATGGTTCCCGGAGAGAAACTGCTTGTTGCCGGCGTCGTAGTAGCCGTCGCCAAAGACGAAGACCTAATCTGAATTAATTTTGTTGTGAATTTTGTTCTCAGTCGATGTCGAGGAAAGGAAGAAAGGGTTGAAGAGAATCTCGCCAAAGGCTTTGTTGGGCGATGAACGGATGTGATTACCTTAAACATGCAGCCGCCAAAGCCTTTGAAAGGCTGAGATGTTGCCACGTCATGTATCCGAGTGAAACATTATGATTGGATTGAGTAATTAAATTGATCAAGTATTAGATCCGATGAATGGCTGAGATCTCGCCACATCAGCAATCCGAGTGAAACATTATGATTGGCTTATTTTGTTTATAGGCATAAAAATGTATTTTTACTATTTATATAATTTTAAAAAATTATATATTGATGAATTAATATGTTTATGAGTTATTTACATGATTATATAATTTTTCGCAATTTAAAAAAAAATATTTTGCAACGTTTTTAGAAATTTGAAGGGAACACATATGATTGCCTTAGAATACATGTACACTAATCTTCTTATTGTGTAAATCATATTGTTGAAACACATTAATGATGTTATAATTAATAAAATGATAGAATTCATTTATGTTATAATAGTATACTACTTTATATCATTAATATTAGCTACTATTTAAAACACTAAACCCTAAACCCTAAACCCTAAACCCTAAACTATTTTTAAAAATGAATTTTATTTATGTTATTATTTGTTATAATTAATATTATTACTATTTCAAACAAATATAATCCAAAAACCTAAACCATACATTTCATACCCTAAACCCTATATCCTAAACCCTAAACCCTAAACTCTATACCCTAAACTCTTTAAAATTATAACTTTGTTATTATTTTTGTAATTATTAATATTATAATTAAATATTTATGTCTTTTTGAGATATTTGGTTTTTTTTTTTTTAAACTTTTTTTTTACAAAATTCGAAAATCATTTAAAAAATCTTAAAAAATCTTTAAAATCATTTAACTTGAAACCTAAAGTACATGCCTTAAAATAATCAATCTCATATAAATAATCAATCTCAAAGAAAATGGAGAACAAAAGAATATTGTTGGAAATATTTTATTTACAAATGATAAGAGTATACATGTAACAGAGATATATAAAACGAAAGTGGTGTCATGATCCTCTATCATATCATCAATAGGAGGTTCTGAATTCAGTAAGCATATACTCTGCTCAACTTGACAACATTCTTCACTCTTGGTCCAGTGACCATCATCCTCAAGGAAGCTGTCGGCAGTAAGACCAAATCTTTTGCAGACAAACTTATATTTGGACGTCAGCTTCTTGTAAGCGTTATAGAGTTCTGTTCTTTTATTTCTCTCCATAGCTAACTGAGATGATTTCTCCAACATTTACCTCTCTGTCAAATTGAGTTTACCCTGCAAAACCTCAAGAGCCGTCCTTAACTACATCAGAGCTCAGCTATATCCGATAAAAATTTGACTACTAACTCATTACACATCCATGGAATCAACCAGCAATCTAGCATTGATTAAAGAAAGACAATGATGAGATAATATCATTGAGACGTACCCACAGTCTACAGTCAATCAAGGCCATAACATGAGCAAGAACATAATTAATGTAAATTAGTGTAATACCTCTGAGTCATCAAGGAGTTTAAGGGCACGACCGGAATATGAATTCAGCAAAACACTAACATTTTCATTGTATATTTACAGACCAGATATCTTGATAGTAAAATCTCTTTCAGGGGTCTGGGAACAGGAGTGAAACAAAAAAAGATATTGGTCAGAAGAACTCTTTCGAATAATAGATTGGTTGCTGGAATAACATAAAAGCTAACTCACTTTCAGGCCCTTCAAGCTTTTTCACGGCCTCTAGAAAAAGCTCATGGAGCTCAGGAATCCATCTCATTCCTGGTATGTGGTTAACTGCTGATCCTGGAGAAAGCTCTGCAGTAGCAGACATTGATGCAGGAACACAGTTTTGGCCATGATTCACTTGGTAGATCTCCTGCAATCAGAACAAAAAAGCTAGCAAGTTAAGGAGAGAAACTCACTCTGAACAGTCTCAAGGGTAACAACAATCCATGTGTCTCTCCAAGTTAACTTACATCAAGTCTGGGGTTTCAGCACTGTCTGTGATGCCTAACTCAAGCTCATCAGACAAAAACTGCAGTTCCAATTGCTCTGTTAAGGAGAAGTTGTCATTAGGACAGCCAAGGTCAAGATCAGAAGAAGCGTCCCCAGAAAGAGTAAGCAAGGAGCTGTCTCCTCCATCACATGGATTGCTTAGAAGAAAATCCTCACTGAATTGAGAGTATCTTCCTTGTTCATCATCTATCAATCCTTCCTTGAGTGCATCGTCACCATACTCGTCATAAATCTCACGCTTCTCCGGATCACTAAGCACTTCATAAGCTTGAGCTAACTCTTTCAACTACAATGATACATGAATTACAATCCAATCAAAACCACAAATTACAAAATCATATCTGATCCCAGAAGATCAAAACTAATCAAGATTGAGTTCCAAAATCAGAATCTTACACGATCTAATTCAAGTAATCAGAAACTCAACAAATTAAGAATCAGCGATTTAAGTACTTGAAAAATCGATCAAGCAAAAGATATAATAAATTGAAAAATTCGATGAGAAAGGGAATAAAGTAACCAACCGAGAGGATTAGAAAGCTTGAAGGAACTCTTTGCAATGACGATTCGATTGGTATCTGCAAATTTCAAACACGCAAATACCATAATTGAATAAAATTATAAACACAATCGAATATAAATTTCTAACTCTTTCTCAGGGTTTTAATCTTTACCATTTCTAACTCCACAGCCCCAAAATCTCAGAGAAATGTCTTCTCTAATGGTGATTCGTTGCGCACGAACCTAGAAAATTTTCTCTATAGGTTCTTTCCTTCAGGTACGTTCTTCATTTCCCAGACTCTCCTCTAATCGACGATGGCTCAAGAACAGAGAGAGGGGAAGTGTTAGATCGGGTTTTCCCTTAGAAAAAAAGAGGAAAGTGAATTTTAGTTTTTTCTTTATTTTTGCCTTAGGTCATTTTTTTTTGGTCTCGCTTAACCAGATTCAATAGCGGGTTAACTAAAATTTTTGGCCGCGTGAAAAATTTGGATCCCGCTTAAACCATTGATAGCGTTTACACATTATCAAACGCTATCTTTAAATCACGATTCAGTCAAAGATAGCATAGATATAAAAAACGCTATCTTTTAGTGCTATCAATACCCAAATTTCCTGTAGTGTGTTAATTTTCTCTTAAGATTTTTTGCATAATTTTGGATACATCTAGAAGGTTATAGATTGTATCAATAATATTTTCGTAATATTTCCGAATCCTTATCCTTATCCTTGTGGAACAAAGCGGAATATTTCCGTAACTCTATTCCTCTCTAACGTGTAGGTCAAGCTACACCTCTCTATAATAAAATATCTCCTCAATCTCTCATTCATTCGATTATCAAAACACAAATGTTTCAAGCAAAATTCTCTCTCCTTCTTCTCTACTCTTTAAAAGTAAGTCTCGAAGGTATATAGTAGAACCGTTCGTAGATTCTATAATCGAGTGTTGCGATTATAGTCTTAACACGGTTATAACATGGGATTCAAAATCTCATCAAAACTGCCACACTACGGGAGATTTTTATTTTATTTTTTATTTTATTTTTTTTTTCAAAATAACAACATCATCCACTTTTTTCTACCTTATATTATGTTGTTTTATCCTTCTTGGGTAAAAAAGCTCACACATATTATTGTCATCCTTTCACACAGAATTTGAATCTCTACTTTAGGAAATGATATGCCTTATTTCGTCTTCTTTAACCAATGTAATTTTTGAGACAGATTGTAAGGCTTCTATTCAACTGATTGATGCTCCAGCCTCCAGATAAGTGCTCATCCTTTGCGAAATTAGAATATATATATATTTTTTCTTAATTATCTTTAACGTTGTAATATTGTCCTGCAAAAAAATGCACATGCACGAAATTTCTCTAGTTTCCATGTAAGCTCTCCAACTCTGGATTATTTTTCCCACGCAAAAAAACTTTTTTTTAAAGCTTAAATGGATGATTTTGTTTTGATATATGATTAATTTTTCCTTAAGATATAAATCATATATTAAATTTTCTCAACTGTTTTTTAAAAATCTTATATTTCATAGACCAATTTGACATCTTTTGGATGTCTTACGAAAAAACTGAAAAGAAAAAATATAATATTTTTCATCGTGTAGTATTTAAAAAATAAAAATTTTAGTAATAAAAATAATAATTTTTTAACAATACAATTAATTATTATCAGTAAAATCATACTACCACTATTTAGAAAAAAGTCCAGTAATTATTATTTTTATATAGAAAAATCCTATAATGTAATTTATACATAAAATGGCGTAAATAAGTTTTTACATAAAAATGCATCCAAAATTTTCATGTCCTAATCTATGGTTTTACTACTCTTTTTTTTTTTTTTTTTTGATCAAATGGCTTCAGTACTCTATGCTCTAAGGTTGACATGTTTCACAGTTTGCACATTACTAAACACCTTCAATAACAAGAAAACTCAGATTTTTAGGGTCTCAAGGATAACATCGTATTTAGTTGTGCGAGAAAAATAGTTTTCTAGTGCGGTACACTTTCCACTACGGTACGTGAGGGAGAAAAATATTTAAGGGATAAGTGCGGTTAGTACGAAATAAACGGTACGGAATCAAGTTTGATTGATGAAAAAACTATATGCGGTACATAATAAAAAGTTTGAATGGTAAGAAAAACAACAAGCGGTGCGCATTGCTGATTATAGATAAATATGTTAGAAAGAAATATATTTATAATTATAAATTAGTGTTTATTTTGTGGTAATAAAGAAACATTTTCATATATTTATGTACCTTAAATATCCAAATTGTTATATAATAAAAACTTTCAATCATAAAAAAAAATTATTATTGGCCTAAACCTAATTGTTTGGGCACATATTCCGTAAGATACCAGTTTAGTTTTCAGCAGTTGTAGCTTATCTTTATCGGTGCTTTCTATGTATATCAGTAGAATATTTAATTCAAAATACTTGCTCTTTAAGTGTACTATTACATGCCCAGTAAAAATCTATTATGTTTAGGAAGGTCTGGCACAATGAATATTACTTCCGTCTTTGTAAATTCATTGTAATCATCTTGAACATGTAATGTTGTTTCAGTAAGAAGAGTTGAAATTTCTATTAGATGAGTTGAACATGTTCCTCCTGAAGATATTTCAACATTCAATAAAATCTAACAATTACTGTATAATTTTTCATAAATAAATTTGAAACTATTAACTATTTTATTTTTATTAATAAAATTTTAAAGTGTATATATTTACTTGCCGTAAAATATATATTTATATAAGAATAATCATAATTTGTTGTAAGTATTGCTATTTTTAATAATTAGAAAATAAATATAATAAAAAGTGTATAATCCATTGCAGATTTCATTGCACTGTAGGGTAAAGAGTTGTTTCAATTTTGAAAAACAGTCTACTTGGTTTTACTTTTTTTGGAAACCGTGATATATTTATTTAAAAAAAATAAAAAATGCCAATATGTAGTAATAAATGCTGATTGGTGATGAATGTGCGGTATTCAAAAATAGTTATTCAAATCCGTAATTGTAGTGTTTTAAATCTCAATCCAAAGCTCCGAATGGTGACAGTAGATTTAATAATGCGGGATAAACAGATTGAATAGTGCGGTGCAGTTTAATTGCGGTTCGTTAGAGAGCAACGCACCATGAAGAACAAATGTAGTTAGTATGAAATAAGTGGTATATGATAATGTATGAATGGTGAATATCACAAGTGCGGTATGGTTTAATAATTATGAAACTTTAACTAATTATTTTAAATACCTTCAGTTTATTTTATTTTTTTGAATATAATGTACAATTTTGAGAAATTTTATTTATTTGATTTTTTATATATCATAACCACACCTAAATGGATATATATAGAACGCACCATGCGTTTTGACAAAGTCTAAACCATACTTAACTATATTTATTTATTTTATAGTTTTTACCTTTTTAATTAAAAAATTACTACATATTAGAAATATGTTGAATGGTAACATCTTTAATAACCACACCCTCTGGTTCAAAGAATATGTCTCCAATTCATGGCCTAAAATTGAAGTGGTTCTAGATGTTTACGCATGTTTTAGCTTTTATTTTATATTTAAGAAATATAAAGTTTCGTTGTTTAATTAATTATTTTTATGATATATTCATAAATACATTTTTGGGAGATTGAAAAAAATAACACTAAAATAAGTTTTTCTTCCAAAAATAGCACTACATATGAAAAGTTACACAAATAGTACTATAAACTTTAATTAAATATTAAATATGAATAATTAGTTCAATTAAAATAAATAAATAAATAAAATTAGAAATTTCCCACCAAAATTTATTTTTCCCGCCAAAACATTTCCGCAACGTAAAAATATTTTCCCGCCAAAAAAAATTTTCAACATTTTCCCGCAAAAACAAATCCGGTCTAATTTTTCCCGCCAAAAAAATCCACGAAATTCAGGAAGGATTCCTTGAATTTCAAGAAATGATTCCTGAAAGGATTGCACGAAATTTAGGAAAGATTCAACGAAATTAAGGAAGGATTCCTCGTAATTTAGGAAGAATTTAATGAATTAATGAATTTCAGGAAGGATTCCACGTAATTCAGGAAGGGTTTCACGAATCGTGAAAGCCTTCCTAAATTACATGAAATACTTCCTAAATTTCGTGGAATCCTTCCTGAAATTCTTGGATTTTTTTTTGGCGGAAAAATTTTGACGATTTTTTTTTTCGGGAGCGGAAAATATTTTGGCAGGAAATTTTGACGGAATTTTTTTTTGGGCGGAAAAATATTAACGATGAATTTGTGATTTTTTGTATCTATTTATAGTTATTTATTAATTTAAAAAATAAAAAATAAGTGCTATTTTTGTCCAATAAACTTTTGAGTGCTATTTTTGTTCCAAAAACTTGATCTAGGCTATAAGAAGCAATTTCTCTACATTTTTTTGGATATAAAGGTTTATTTGATTTTTTTGCGGATCTAGTTTTTATTTGATTTAACTAATTGAATACTCAAACAAATCAAAATTTTAAAATATTCGGACGGGTCTTAACTTAAACCTGAAAGGAACCGACTCCAACGAACATAATTTTTTTTGCTTATGGTTAATAAATAATAGAGTTAAATAGCTGAGAGACAATGGATCCAGATCAAATTAGTTTTGGTTAGTTAATGTGCAGCCCAAGATAACGTAAATATTTAGCCCACATTTCGGTCCAAAATATCCTCACGCGCTTCTCCTTTTTTGTTAATATCAGACTTTTGGATACCCATTTATCTTTCCTCATTGTTCCATTTTATCTCTCCTCTATAATATCCCTCTGTCGCCTTAAGTCTTCACGCCACCGTCGCCGTAAACCATCATCACTGTTGCGAGTATTCAGCGCTGTCTCATTGACGGCCAAATAACTAGTAAGTAATTATTTTCCGTTTTAGGTGGTTATGTATTTTTCCTAATTTTACTTCTGCGCTAATTCACTCTAAAATTTAAAAATTTAAAATGTTCGTACACTAATGAAAGGCCTGATGTCCCTTACCAAAAAAAAAATGAAAGGCCTGATGTTCAAAGTATTTCAAAAAAGTCTTCTTGTCATTTATTGGTAAGTGTGTGAATAAGGAAAATCTTTTTTGGTAAAAATAAAAAGTATGTTGGTGAAGTTCATTTACTGCTTCTCTTTTCAAACACAACTAGTAACTTTCTTTAATTGCGACTATATATGGTCTTTATTTACACATT